CGCATGACCCTCTGCGCGACGATGTCTTTCACGCGCTGATGGGTTGGATTCGATCGGGCGTGGTGTCAGGGCCGTGGTCAGTGACCCCGTGCCAATTGTTCTCAGCTGCTAGACGGGCTCCTCAGCGGTCGCAGTTGCCCCATCGACTGCGAAATCAAGAGTGCCTACATGGCTTGCCAAAACTTTGCGATGAAGATCGGTTAGTTGTGACAGAAGGGAACTTGTTGGCACAGCGTAGCGAGGCTCTGCTTAATGCCTGCATTGATCGCGGTATTCCCTGCGGCGAGGAGAACCCAGCTCAATCTTTCCTTTGGTCAGCGTACAATCGACCCAATCACAGTCAACACAGTGCGTGCACCCAGTATGTAAATGACTACTGCGCGTTTGGAGCGGCCTGGCGTGCTCGGACGCGGCTTCAGCCGTTCCATTGTAAATGTCCTGCCCTCTTTCGAGCAATTTGTTTGAGTCGAGGTGCATGTATGTTCTCCGGGAAATCGCATCTTCAATTCGATGGGCCTACTGGGTCAGGAGGTTTTCTAACACGGAAAAACAGGTTTATCCCGAGAAGTTCTGCGAGGTGTTAACCCAGGTTTTCGCAACCTCCCTCAGCCTCTTGCGTGTCAATGCCCTGTGGCCTGTTCTCGCCTCCTTTGCCCCCTCTCGTCCCCCTTTAATTCGGGGGGCCTCGGGGGGGGATTTCCGTCAACAAGATGATCGTAGGTTCTTGCGTCGAATAACTTCGCCAGGCCAGTGCTGATTGCGGGAGGCTGAATGTGGGCAGGTTCGACTGTGCGTGCTCACTCGGTCTCCGCAAGCAGTGGTTTGGAAAAGAGCAGCCAGCATCATGTTTGTGCCCCACGGGAATGATCTGGCCTTTGCATCCGCTTCTTCCGCTACGCAGGCTTTCTAGTTCACCCAGAACCCCTCCAACCCCAAAAAGCTCGGATAGTTTCGTTTGTGCGTGCTCACTCGGTCTCCGCAGGCAGTGGTTTGGAAAAGACCAGCCAGCATCATCATCATGATCCTCATCTCCAGCATACTCAGCATCATCATCATCAGCAGCATCATCAGTATCATCGTCGTCGTCGTCGTTCCTCCTCCTCCTCCTCCTCCTCCTCTTCCTCCTCCTCCTCCTGCTCCTCCTCCTCCTCCTCCGCGTCCTCCTCCTCCTCCTCCTCCTCCTCCTCTCCTCCTCCTCCTCCTCCTCCTCCTCCTCCTCCTCCTCCTCCTCCTCCTCCTCCTCCTCCTCCTCCTTCTCCTTATCATCATCGGCATGGTCCCCCAGTCCTGAGCTGCTGGCGGCGCGCTGCAAGCGGGTGTGGTCGCGGGACTCTCCCCGGGTGCGTGGCGAGAGGAAGGAAGAAGCGCGGCCGCGCGGCGGCAACGGCGCGCGCGGGCTGTCGCGCCAGCTGACAACCACGTCCAGAGGCTCGTCAAGGAACTGGCGGCGGCCGAGTTGAGGGTCAAGCAGCTGATCGAGCAGATCGAGGCGTTCTCAAGCGAACCCGAGGGGGGGGGAGGGGCGCGGCTGGCGGCGTGCGCGCGCCTGCGGTAACCGCCCTGCTGGCGGGTCGTACGCCAAGCGACCTCGATCGGTTGCATCGCAACGTCGCCCTGCATGCGGCTGCCCAGGGCCTGGACGTCGGCACGGCGGCCCCCAGCGAGCTCAGGTCAACGCTGTGGGAGCCTCGCCTGGGAGCTGGCGCCGCATTGCGGCGGGACGCGGACGACGATGTCGAGTTGGACGTGGTGGGAGCCGCGGGAGTGCCTTCGGTGAAGCAGCTGGGCGCGGCGGTGCAATCGGGTTTAAGCCAGGCTCCGCGTTGGTGCGATATGGTTTGCACATGCGGACCGAGGATATGGACAAGGGTGAGGTCGAGACGGCACTGGCGCCCTGGACGCCGAATCCGTCTTCTCCGCCTTTTTCATCCCCCTCGAGCTGATGCACGAGCAGACCGTGCGCCTCTGGATGCAAGCGCGGCGGCGTTGTGCTGGACGGAGCGGCCAGCCGCCAGCGCTGGGAGGCCAGCGAGGTGCGGGCTCGGCTGCTCGGCGACGCCGACGCCATGCGGGGCGGTGCGGCGCTTGGGTGTTTCGGGCCCCCACGGGGGATGGTTGCCCTTCCGCTGTCGGTTGCTGCCCGTGGCGGGGGTCCTGGCGGGCTCTCAGCCGCGTTGGACGGGTTCAGGCAGGCCCTCGCTGACATGGCGGCGACGGTGCCCGCCGCGCCGCCGCCGCCGCTGCAAACGGCTCCCCCTGAGCGCAAACAGATGTGACGCCTGGTGTTGTTCCTGGTGTGCGTGTGCGCGAGCATTTCCCTCCTTGCCGCCATCCCGTTCGACCAGGTCGTGTGGTGCTCGCCGTTCGGTACTCCGTCGCGCTGTTCGTATACGTGGTCAGGGGGCGAGGCGTGTGTGTGTATGGCTACGTCATTGTTCCGATACCGATACCGATGCCTCCTCCTCCTCCTCCTCCTCCTCCTCCTCCTCCTCCTCCTCATCCTCCTCCTCCTCCTCCTCCTCCTCCTCCTCCTCCCCCTTCTCCTCATTATCCTCATTATCCTACTCATCCTCCTGTTCCTCCTCCTCCTCCTCCTCCACCTCCTCCTCCTCCTCTCCCTCCTCCTCGTCCTTATCCTTCTCCTTTTCCTCCTCCCCCTCGACCTCCTCATCCTCCTCCTCCCCCTCCACCTCCTCATCCTCCTCCTGTTCCTCCTCTTCCTCCTCTTCCTCCTCCTCCTCCTCCTCCTCCCTCCTCCTCCTCCTCCTCCTCCTCCTCCTCCTCCTCCTCCTCCTCCTCCTCCTTCCTTTTCCCCCCCCTTCCTCCTGCTCATCCTATTCATCACCCTCTTACATCCTCCTCTCTCCTCCTCCTCCTCCATACTCCCCCCCTCCTCCTTTATCATCCTCCCCCGCCCTCTTGGAGGCGAATGCGGCGGGACGGGGCACGGGCAGCTCTCCAGGGACGCCTGGCCCGCTGGACGCGTCAGGGGGCCGCCCACGTTCTTCGTGCCAGCGGTGCGCCCAAGCAGCCCACAGGTTCACGACGCCGCGGCAAAAATGACGACGACGACGACGACGACGACGACGACGACGACGACGACGGTGACGACAATGACGACTCCTGGAGACGCCCCGTTTCGCTGTCGGAAGGAACCCCGCCCCGCTTCGTCCTCGCCGGGGTCGTGCCACCCTGATAAGTATGGTCGCTGTGCCAGAGTCGGGGCAGATCCCGAAATGAGTCTGGAGGCGGCGCGGAAAGCCACCGGCCTCCGCCATGACTTGGCACCAAAGCGCGTAGCCATGGCAGCAGCAAATCTGGGCGTGAGCTGACTTTGCTGACAGAACCCCGCTAAGGCGGGCATGTTCGCCCCGATGTCAAGCCTCGGGGCCCTCAGGGGCCGTTCCGGCTCGAGAGATGTTGCAAGAAGATGTGGCCGAGGGTTTTGCTGGTGATTCTTATCACGGCGTAGATTTGTTTCGCTTGGTCGAGTCAGCCCCCCAGGAACGTCCGGAGCGGCCCACTCTTGCTCAGGCTACGGTCGAACGACGCCAGAGCAGGGGGCCTGAGTGTCATTCCCACGTTCGCTTCCCCAATTGATCATTGTTGCCCCTGACGGGGTCATACTTGTGATCTGGGCATCCAGGAAGCTGGTGCCTCCGGGGACCTGTGCCGCTCGGAGAGTTCGCCATCCTTTTGTCACACAGCATTATTGGAGCCCGCGGATTCCGCGTGAGAGGTCTCCACAGTCTCCAACTCCCAGAGGGCATCCTTCATGGGGCAGACGCACGTCGAGACTCCACAAATGGTGTTCTGCTGCGACTCATTGGCGCAACAGTCATGGAACAATGGAGCAGCGAAACTCCAGAAACTGCGTTCTGACATGATCCACGGCTCCCAGAGCACAGCGATGGACTTGCGGACCAACGTCGAAGCCACCGATATTGTCTTCTATTGGCTGGAGATTGCTTCTCTGAGCGACATACGCACGCGACAACAATGTCGTTTGGAGTTGGCGGGCCTGTGGGTCCCTGACGCACCTACTCGCTCCAGCTGGCTTGCGGCCGCGAGACCCGCGGGGGGGATATCGAAGATAGCCGTTCAGCCAAGAATCATGTCCATTCACTCGCTTTCGGGCTCGGGAAGCATCTGGCACGGCTCTGCATCGCCTCTCTGATCGCAAAGAATCATCAACAGATCACGGCAACGAGATCATGCTCAAGAGGTTTACGCCATTCCGCCGACCTTCCAAAAGAGTGGAGGAGTTGACAGTGTTCGCCAGACTCAGGTCGGAGCTGCAGCGAAGCGTCCCGCATGCGTTCCAGCCCGCCGAGGTCATGCGATGGGGCTGCCAATGTCGTGCATGGTCTTCGTGGGGGACTATCGCCGCCTTGATGAAAGAACATGACCCCAACATCGACCGCAAATATGAAAGCAACCACATCACCAAAGCCGGCAAAGGTCTCAGAGCAAACATCTGTAGGACCAGGTAAGACCCCTTTCGCTAAAGCAGAATACGCCGTTACAGAAGCTGAGGACGTTTAGTGAGGGCGTCAAGATGATATGGATTTCGTCCGTCACTTCCGCGTGAGGGGGCAGCTGGAGGCTGACCCTTGTTCCGACCGCGCCATGCTGACCCTGCCAGTGCAAGGTGATTGCATCTCCCATCGTCACAGAACTTCCGCAACGCCGATGCATTTGGAGAGAAGATTCGGCGGCGCGCTTGGGGAGAAGTTGGAGAAGGCCTCCTCAGGAGGCCGCGGGGCTTCTCAGAGGCCCTCGTGCTTTCTGAGAAATTGCTTGCGTCCTCGGGGAAGGCTCTGAGAACTTCTCAGAAGGCTGGCAGCCTTCCGAGCTTCCTGAGACGACTCGCCCCCTCTCACTTCCCCTCTGGGCGTGACGCCGAATGTGGAGAAACGCAACACTTCGAAAGTGCCTTGCCGGACGGCAGCAGCTTGCGCGGTTCCCCACCGGCGCTCGGCGGGGCGCCGCCCGCACAGGCCAGTGGAGTGGCGGCAAGCAAGACGGGAGCGGGGTGATGACGAACACGAATGGCGAGACCGTGCACGGGAGGCGTGCAGCGAAGGAGGAGGAGGAGGAGGAGGTGGTGGAAGGAGACCAGAACGCAGGAAGAGGAGGAGGAGGAGGAGAAGGAGGAGGAGGAGGAGGAGGGAAGGAGGAGGAGGAAGAAGAGGGAGGAGAAGGAGGGAGGAGGAGGGAGAAGGAGGTGGAGGGGGAGGAAAAGGAGGGAGGAGGTGGAGGAGGAGGACGAGGAGGGAGGAGAGAGGAAGAGTTGGAGGAGGAGGGACGAGAGAGGAGGAGAAGAAGGAGTGAGAGGGGAAGGACGAGGAAGAGGCGTGCAGCGGAGGAGGCGTGCAGCGGAGGAGGGAAGAGGAGGAGGAGGAGGAGGAATCCGTAACCATTTTGGCTCAAGGATCAACGTTGTGAAGGGCTATAGACGCCCGAGGATCAGCGATTAGCTTGCTTTCGGCCCGTCCGTAGCTAGCTTTCGAGCGCGGGCATGTGGCCCTCTTTGCTTTCCAACATTCGTCGGCTACTGTTGTGGGTAGCTCTCCTCGCGTGCTTGTGTGTGTTCGGTCCGAGCGAAGCATGGCGGGAGCAGACAGTAGCGGCGGATCGGGAACACCAGCGAAGCAGCAGGCTTTCGACATCCTTCGACCGCCACAACCACATGGTGAGCAGACTGACCAAGAAGTGGACCTACGAGCATCGCATTTGTGGAACAGATTCAGCGGCAACTCGTGGAACAGGTCAATGATGTCAAGTTCTCGGTCCACCAGTCCCTGGGCCAGGTCACGCAGACGATCCATGAAACGTGGGCAGGCCTCGGAGCAGCGGCTGATAAGCGGGTGGGCGACTTGGCAGCTCGGGTCCAGCCGCTCGAGGCGCAGATTCTCGAGCAGAAACACAAGATGCAGGCAGTGGAGACTGAACGCAAGCGGCTTCGGACGATGTTCGTGGAGGAGATGGGTGTCGTGCGCGCCGCGGTCCCAGATCCAGTCATCCGCTCAGTCCCTGGCACCAGGTTTTCGAGAACCGTCGACCCGTGCATCAATGTCGTGCGGTGCCAGGAGCAGATCGCCCGCTCGAGTGCCATAAACGTACTCAGGCCGCGGATGCGCGAGTGCAACGTTCCTGTTAATGGACTCTGGAGGGAGACCCAACGGCCAAACGCTTCACACTTCGGCTCAAAGGCGCAGTTGGCTTTGCGAGCAGGCGAGCCCAACACGCTTTCACGATGCTTCGCCCTTTTTCAGAAAGGAGGTGAATGGAGGCGATTCCGTGGACTTTCTGTGGATGTGTCGCAATGCGAGATCAACGTGGGCCCAGACAAGAAAGCCGAACAAATCCAACGGGAGCTCGCGCTCAAGAGCGTGCGAAAGGTGCTGGCGGGCATCTATCCATCGAAGACGTTCTCCCTGGACAAACAGAAAGGCTCGGCCTCGACGAATTGGAACCCTCTCGTGCAAGCGCAGCCCAAGCCAGACCAGGAGGTGCCCGAGATCATTTTCGCGATGGCTAACATGCGGGCGGAGGGCATCGACCGCGGGCAGATCGAGAGGAGGATTCGCCGTGCACGACGGACGCCGATAGCGGCGACATAGTGGAGCGTTTAGCACTTCCCACACCATGTGGAGTGGAGCCCTGCGGGGCCGTGCACCGATAGAAGCACCGACTTGGAGTGCAGCTGCGCTGGCCCATCATGATGAGCGACGGCGGCTGGCCAAGTCCGCCTACCTCAAGCAGCCCATCCGCCCTGGAGCAGTGACCGCCGTGCAAGGGGATGTTCTCCGCCACTCCAACCTCTCGCCCTCGTTCGCCATTGTTTCTTCCGTCCACCCTTCCTCGCTGCACGTCGGCGGCGCTGTCACGTTATTCCCGGCGTTCGGCCCCGCAAAGCACCGCGGGCAGACGCGCGGTGACCCCCCCCCCTTCCACCCCCTCCTCTGCTCTGGTGCCTGGCCGAGCCATCACTATGAAGATCGAGGCTGCGAACGGCCCGGCGAGCATCACACAATATAACATTCGCAATCGCGCATTAGCACGCGCTCAGATATCGGGCGCCCTTGCCAGCATCCAGGAGGCAGAACTGCAGGCTCAGCACGACCCTCTGAACAAAATCGCCTGGGCGACGGGGGGCTTCAACTTTGGCAGCTCGGAGCCGACGCCGCCCGCGCCTGACGGCCGCCCACTCCCGCCGCCGACCCCGCCGCCTCGGGCGCGGAGAGAGACGCCGAGTGGTTTGGCGGAGTTGGTCACTGATGGACCGACGCAATACCATCCCGGAACGAAATTGCCATCAACGATTGACAGATTTTGTTGCGAATCTCTCCGATTGGATTTTGACGCAGTTTTCCAATGGCGCCAGAAACGTTCCAGGATCAGCTCGTTTCTGACAACGCTGCTGTCCAACTCGGTCTTCGCCCGCGGGATCAGCCAAAAGCGAGTCAGCAGCCCACCCCGAAAGACATTTTCGATTCGCCCGAGCACGCCGAGTTTTTGACGAAGGCGATCGAGCGCGAGACTCCTGACCCCCCCCCTCCGATTGAAGTTCATCGGTGCAACAATGATATGATGAGAGAGCCGGCGAGGCATGCGAGGAATCTTGTTGTTCTCAGGCGCCCTGTCAGCTTGGCAGCAAGATCTACGGCGGTGCGAAGCGTAGCTCGCGCTGACTTTTGCGGAGATGAATATTTCGCGGTAAAGCCTCAGCGCGCGCACCAGCTCGCTCGCGACCATCTCGTTGCCAACCGCGCCAAGCAGCAGGTCAGTCTTGCCGACTTCGACGCCTTTGCCATTCTCTCGGCCGAGCTCCACGGATCTGTTGCTGCGCGAAGCAGGCGCCGCGTCTCCCAGGCTGCCCAGCAGGAAACGAATGAACGAAAGCAATTTCGCCTTCGGGACCGCATCCGGAAGATGCGAAGGGCGGAAGGTGCATGGAGCTTTCGGTCGCCGCGAGCATCCAGCAGGGATCAGGGATATAATTGGAACCGTCGTCTCGGAGCCTGCGGAGATGATGGCAGCCTTGGTTGACCACTGGGGCCCAATCTTTGCGCGGCAAGAGTTCAACGAGCGCCAGAGCTCGGAGCGTCCTCTACAACGCCCCGTGCGCGCGCAGGCCTCGGACACCCCCCCGCCGACTCCTGGGCCGCATGCAGCATTCCGCCCCTGGCCCTGATCAACTCCAACGCGCTGCCCGGCAAAAAGCACCGCGCGGGGCCGACGCACTGCACGCGAGCACGCAGACCATGATTAGTGGCCAGGTGCTAGCGCCAGAGTGCAACCACACGCTTGGCATTTTTGTGGCCAAAGGTGACGAGGAGAGCGATTTTGCCGGGGCTGCGCGGGGGGCCTCTGAGACGCGGCCGCTCGGGCTGAAGAACACCGATACCAGGATCAGCACCGGCGTCATCTGTCAACCTCTGGCTCGACAGGCCCCCCGGGACCTTGATAGCTGCCAGCGCGGCGTTGTCTAAGGGAGAGGCTTCGGGGACAACATCATCGAACTGGACGGACGCGCTCGGGTTCCAGTTTTCGGGGCCCCCCACAAGCACCCCCTCCCTGCGCGCTTCGGTTTCGGCCACGCGTTCCCGCCCATAGCCCAGGCCTGGCCGCTGAAGGTCATGGGCCCCGCGCAGATCCCAGACCCCCTCAAGGCCAATTTCGAGATCCTTTATCGCGACGCGGTGTGTCAAGGTGACTCGGGGTGTGAAATCTCGATCCTCTTCCCCGCCCTCAGTGGGATCATTCAGGGATCCCCGGCATCGGGGCTGCCCCCCTCCGTCGGCCTGGATTAGTTGTTTGCAGCGTTTTCGGGGTATCCTGGAGACGCCCAGGCGTGGCAAAACGCGCGCCTGTGTTGGCGACATTGGGGCGGCGGCGAGGGGTCTTCGCCACTTGCGCTCGATTCGCGGGGTCTTCCGCGAAGCAGAAGATATTGCCTGCCTCTCCCTGAAGGCCGCGAAGTGCGCGATCGCACCCCTGGGCCAACAGATGAATGATATTCTTAGACACGCCAGTACCAGCAGCGGTTGAACCTGAAGATTCCCGGGCGGGGGGGGCTTCAAATTCGAGATCGCGCGAAATATATTGGATGATGGCTTGGGCCAGGGGTGCTGGGGGATGAGTGGTTTGCCCCGCAGCGCAAGCACTTTGAACGTTGTCGCGCGGTTGCGGCGGCTGGAATGGCCACTGAACTCGCTGCCAGCTCTGACAACAAGCGTTGTGTTTCGGTCCTAGGAGATGTTCCCCTGTATATCCACATGCCATCGAAGCCTCTGGCCTCGGAATTTGCCCAGTTCTCCGAATCTTTCACATGCCGCACTCGAGGATGAAACGTGCGGACTGGCTGCGAGCAGGAAAGCGGGGTGGGCCAGCTCTGACAAGCATGCTGGCGCTGAACCTTGCCAGCCTGGTGCGCGCCGCTCTGTTCACTCTCAACGCCTGGAGCTCGATGCTCGAGGACCTTAGGGCAAAAGCAGATGAGCACCTCTCAGTGGTCGAGCTCCTGACAGGCGTGCTATCCTCGCAGTTTTGGAAGAGTCGCCCGCTGAGATTCTTGCCGACGCGAGCCACGGCTTCCCAGCCCATCCGAAACTTGCCCCCGCCGGAAGTGAGGCCCGCATGACTCCTAATAATTCCAGGACTGAGAACCCGAGCATGACCGTGAATCAGTTGAACCCGCAGAAAGTGCTGCACCGTGCGACCCGTGACGATTTGTACCTTGACAGGCTCCCCGAGACCTTCAAGCAGAGGCTCCTCAAATGGGTCCCTGAGCATCGAAACGATGTTATGAGTATTGAACGGAGTGAATTTCGCGAAGTTATGCTACCCCCTTGTGGTGGTCTGCTATAATTAAGACTCTCTGTGGGGCCTGGGCCACCGACAATGATTTCCAAAAGTGTTCGCCGCGTATACCAGGATGCCAAGACTTGAATCGATCTCCCCATTATTGATAGTGTCGTCGATTTTGTAACCTTCGTCAGAACTCTGTGGGGAGACCGATCAGTGGTCACCCAAAACAGAGGCTTGGCCTCCTCAGCCAATCCCCCCAAATGCTGGAGGTTGTGGTTCACGCCGTATATCTTTTCAATTGTCTCCGCGCTGCCGCTGCTGCATCGTCCATTCCTCTCCCCGAAGCCCAGCGTTTTCCCAGATCCACCACGTGGAACAAAGCTCGCCGGCCTCGGCGCGCCGGCTGGGCGGGGCCCGCGCTGCGCCAGCGACGCGCGAGGAGGGAGAAGAGGAGGAGGAGAAGGAGGAGAAGAAGGAGGAGGAGGAGGAGGAAGAGGAGGAGGAGGAGGAAGAGGAAAAGGAGGAGGAGGAGGGGGGGAGGGAGGAGGAGGGGAGGAGGAGAGGAGGAGGAGGAGGGAGGAGGAGGGAGGAGAGGAGGAGGAGGAGGAGAGGAGGAGGAGGAGGAGAAGGAGGAGGCGGAGGAGGAGGAGGAGAAGGAGGAGGAGAGGAGAGGAGAGGAGGAGGGGAGGGGAGGAGGAGGAGGAGGAGGAGGAGGAGAGGAGGAGGAGCTGGCTGGGACGAGCGCCACTGCCTGGGTCTACGCCGCAGCCGAGCGCCGGGAGAAGGCGCAGAAGCGTTTGACTCAGCCAGCGCAGCAGCAGCGACGCGCCCGCCTGCTGGCCTCCTTGCCGGCGAGCGAAGCCGCCAGCCTCCGCTCCGCGGGCGGCAAAGGCGCGGGCGCCTTCCTCTTGCCCCCGACGCGGCAAGACCACCTCCTGGCTGACGAGCACCTGCAACCAGCGCTCGCCCTCCGGCTGCGCTTGCCAGTGCCCGAGGGAGCCAGCCCCACGTGCCTGCGGCGGAGGAGCGACGGCACGGTCTGCGGCTGCGACCTGCGCGCGGACCCCGGCCACGCGGTAGGCTGCCCCGCGGGCGGCCTGGCCATCGAGAAGCACGACGGCGTGCGCGACTGGCTGGCCGGCTGGCTGGCTGAGCAGGGCGCCGCGGGCGTGGACACCGAGCAGGCCGTGCCCGCCTGGGACCGCGCCCGCCCGGACGGCAGCGTGGAAGCCGCGCGCTTGGACGTGACCTACGTTGATCCTGTCGCTGGGCGGCAGTACGTAGACGTCACGGTCACCGACGCTGCGCTCGGGGCTGGCACGGGCGCGGGCCGCAGCCGCGCGACCAGGAACGGCGCCGCGGCCGCAGCGGCCGAAGAGCGCAAGCACCGGCGCTACCCAGGGCCCGCGTTCCTCGCCTTCGCACTCGAGACGCTGGGCCGGCCTGGGAAGGAGGCGCAGGCCCTGCTGCGCACTTGGTCTGCCGGGGACCCACAAGTCCTCGCGGCCGCGCGGCAAAGCCTCTCTGCCGCGCTGCAGCGGGGCAACGCCGAAGCCTGGCGGACTGCCGTGCTGCCGCGGGGCGGCGCGGCGCGGCGGACGCCTGCCGCGAACCCCGGCGCGCCGCCAGCGCGGCGCGCGCGGCGCGCGTAAGCGCGCCTGCCCTGGCTGCTGACCGCTGACCGGGCGCGACCCGCGGCCCGGCTCCCTGGCGCCGCCGCGGCTGCTGGAGCTGCACCCCGCGCCGCGGACGCTGCGGCGTGGCCGCCGCGGGCGCGCATTGGGCCAGGTGGGGGGGGATTCAGACCTCC